AATTTAGTATTATATTTTACATTTTTTTGGGTCAAATTATGTTTTTCATTTTCATTATTTATTGATTTAAATATATTTTTCTTAACGGCTGATGAGTAGATTTTTATATATTTTACCCTAATCTTAGTATATTTTGGTTAATATATTGGAAGAATTTTGATACTTTGAATTGTATTTTCAATATAGGACTTTCGAGAAAATGGCGCCGTTGCCGGGGATTATTTAAAATAATCCCTACTAATCAGATTTTCAATTAGTTATTGTTGTTCATACATAAAATAAAAAAATAAAAAAATTAATTTTCGTTTTTATTTTATTTTTACAGATTACAACAGTACAGCGGTGCAGATTTAAGAAATCTGTGCATGGTCAGCACCCGTTCAACAGTGCAGAAATTGATTCCACTTGATCCAGAACTTGAGCAGAATTTAAGGAGGAAACGCTGGGAGCAAACTTTGCAGAGGGTTCGTCCTCTGCAGGAGACTTTTCTGCAATCATTCTTTTCTGGGGACCTGCACAACAAAGATAAAATGGCATTTGTAATTCCAGAAGCTGGTCTGCCCCTGGGAGATTCATTGACAGCCCATACCACAAATATACCAAGTTGCATTACTTATCCGGCAGTGGAGGAAGGGTCTGCATTTGAAATAAAGCAGCACATGTTGAATATTCTACCTACATTTCATGGGTTATCATCTGATGATCCTAACATGCACATTGCAGAATTTTTAATGGGGTGCAAAAACATTTTGGTGAGGGGATTTTCAGCCGAATCTATTAAGCTGCGTTTATTTCCATACACACTAAAAGATCAAGCAAGGAGATGACTCTTCACACTCCCATCTGGAAGCATTAGTACTTGGGCCCAACTCAGTGAAAATTTTTTAAACAAGTATTATTCGGCTTCTAAGACTCTTGACATGAGAACTCAGATTTTATCTTTTGCCCAAAAACCAAATAAGGAGTTTCATGAGGCGTGGGAGCGGTTTAAAGAGTTGATTAGAAAATGTCCACATTCGGGTATTAACACTACTGATCAAATGCATATATTTTTCAGAGGGTTGAATATGACTACAAAAACTCTTGTCAACGCTTCATGCGGAGGTTCGTACAAAGACAAAAATGCACGAGAGGCTTGTTTGTTATTTGAAAAAATGGCAGCAGATACACAGCAGTGGGCAGTTGAGCAGCCACAATCTAGGTCAGCTTTTGAGATGTCTACTGGTTCTCCGTACGTTACAGCACAAATTGAAAAAATGGAGAAAATGCTTGATGCAAAATTTGACATGTTATTACAGAGAATACCAAGTTCCCAGGTTGCTGTACAGCAACCCTTACAAGCTGCCTGCAGCATTTGCAACTGATAACTCACGATTTTATGAGCTGCCCACATAAAGATGTTTCTCCAGATTTTATAGCAGAGCAGGTTAATGCATTTAACAATTTCCAGCGCCCCCGATATTACCCGTATTCTAATTTCTACAACCCAGGTTAGAGAGATCATCCTAATCTAAGGTGGGACAAGGAACAGCACACTGGGCCTCAATTTCAACAGCAGGTACAACAACCTGCTGCACCTAAGGTTGCTTGGGAGGTTGCAATTGAAAAATTGGCAAATACTACCACTCAAGAAATTCAAAATCTACAGGCAACAGTGAAAAACATGGAAAAACAGATGGGGCAGATTGCTTTGCAGGTTTCTGGAAGGGCACCGAGTACATTTCCCAGCCAAATCGAACCAAATCCAAGGGGAGGTGCAGATTGCAAGGCAGTTAGAGTTCTACGTTCCGGCAAAAGTTTTGATAACAGGGATGAAAATTGCGTTCAAAATTCACGGGTGGCTTCGCAGCCAAAAACAGATTCGGGGAATGTTGAAAAATCTGCCAATTCGAAAAATTCTGAACAGTCCTTGAACAGTTCCGAAAATGGTGCAAATATTGTTGCGGATCGTGTGTATGAGCCACTTATGCCTTATCCCGAAAGGTTGAAGCCTAAAGTTAAAGATCAACAATTGACAGATTTTATGAAGACTTTGTCTAAGGTTCAGATTAATCTGCCGTTAATTGATGCCATCAAGAACATTTCATCTTATGCCAAGTTTTTAAAGGATGTTTGCACAAAGAAAAAGAAGCTCGTTGATTTTGAGAAAGTGATTCTTACAGAACAATGCAGCGCTGTTCTACTACATAAGTTGCCCCCAAAGAAACAAGATCCATGGAGTTTTACAATTTCATGCTCAATTGGAAATTCTAATTTTAAACGTGCTTTAATTGATTTAGGTGCTAGTATTAATTTAATGCCTTTTTCTGTTTTTCAGAGACTGGGACAAGGAGAAATCAAGCCTACATCAGTTATTCTACAACTAGCGGACCGTTCAGTTGCTTATCCTAGGGGAATTATTAAAGACCTAATTATTAAAGTGGAGAATCTCTATCTTCCTGCAGATTTTGTGATTTTGGATATGGATGAAGATATGCAAACACCAATTATTTTGGGACGTCCCTTCATGGCAATAGCTAGAACATTAATTGATGTAGAGGCTGGAACACTTACACTTAGAGTGCAAGATCAATCTGTTGTGTTCAGTTTATTTGAAGCTACCAAAAGGCCAGGTGATGTGCATGATTGTATGCGTGTTGATATGCTGGACAGCTTATTGCATGCTGAAATTATGCCACGTTTGACATCGGATCCATTGTTAAATGTGTTGCATGAGTTTGAGAATAAAAATACAGTAGATGAAGAGGTTTTTGAGTATGTTTCAGCTTTGGAAAGTGTTCCTTTTCAACCCCCACGTTGGAGGCACGTTTTTGAGAGTTTGGGGGAACCCAAAAAGCTGTTGCAGCCTTCTAAGGTACAACCAACTAAACTGGAGTTAAAGGTGCTTCCAGAACACTTGAAATATGCTTATTTGGGTGCAGATTCTTCGCTGCCAGTTATTATAGCTGCTGATTTATCATCAACAGAAGAAGATAAATTGTTACGCATTTTAAGGAGTCATCAAGATGCAAATGGCTGGACTATAGCTGACATTAAGGGGATCAGCCTTACAATTTGTATGCACAAAATTTTGATGGAGGATGGAGTAAAACCTGCTATTGACGCTCAACGTCGTTTGAATCCAATTATGAAAGAAGTTGTTCGTAATGAAGTTATGAAGCTTTTAGATGCTGGGATGATCTATCCCATTTCAGATAGTAAGTGAATTAGTCCAACTCAAGTGGTGCCAAAGCGTTCTGGTATTACAGTTGTGCAGAATGATAATAATGAACTTGTGCCTACTCGTTTGACTACTGGGTGGCGTATGTGTGTTGATTATAGAAAGATCAATGCAGGCACTAGAAAAGATCATTTTCCATTGCCATTCATTGATCAAATGTTGGAAAGGTTGGTTGGTCGTGCTTTCTATTGTTTCTTGGATGGCTATTCAGGGTACAACCAGATTCCAGTTGCCCCTGAGGATCAAGAAAATACAACCTTTACTTGTCCTTTTAGGACTTTCGCATATAGAAGAATGCCTTTTGGTTTGTGCAATGCGCCTGCCACGTTTCAACATTGCATGATGAGCATATTTACCAGGTTAGTTGAACATGTAGTTGAGGTATTTATGGATGACTTTTCTGTTTTTGGGGATTCTTTTGACCAATGTTTGCAGAATTTATCTCTAGTTCTTGAAAGGTGCATTAAGACCAACCTAGTTTTAAATTGGGAAAAGTGTCATTTCATGGTTAAGCAGGGAATTGTCCTAGGCCACTTGATTTCTAACAGGGGTATTGAAGTTGACAAGGCTAAAATTGATGCAATTAAGAAGTTGCCACCCCCTACAACTGTTAAGAGTGTTCGATCTTTTCTTGGCCATGCCGGATTTTATAGACGATTCATCAAGGATTTCTCCAAGATTAGCCGACCATTGTGTAATTTATTGGCTAAGGATGCACCTTTTGTTTTTTATGAGACTTGTTTGGAGGCCTTCAAGAAGTTAAAGACACTCCTCACTACAGCACCCATTATTGCAGCTCCTAATTGGAGCCTACCTTTTGAATTGATGTGTGACGCATCAAAGTATGCAGTGGGAGCAGTTCTTGGACAGCGGAAAGATAAGCTTCCCCAAGTTATATATTATGCTAGTTGAACCCTCAATGATGCACAACTAAACTATGCTACCACAAAGAAAGAATTGTTGGCAGTTGTTTTTGCATTGGAAAATTTTCGTTCGTATTTAGTTGGGGCTAAAGTGATTGTTTATACAGATCATGCAGCTTTGAAATATTTGTTGTCTAAAAAAGATGCTAAGCCTCGATTAATTCGTTGGATTCTTTTATTGCAAGAGTTTGACTTAGAAATCAGAGATAAAAAGGGTAGTGAAAATGTGGTGGCTGACCATTTATCTAGATTAATTATTCCCACAGCTTCCGAAGAGGATTCCCTACCATTAAGGGAGAGTTTTCCAGATGAACAACTATTTGCAGTCCAATTCCGTACACCATGGTTTGCTGATATTGTTAATTATTTGGTTAAAGGTGTAGTGCATCCAGATTTAACGTTTCAGCAGAAAAAGAAGTTTTTATCTGATGTCAAGCATTATTTCTGGGATGAGCCATACCTATTTAAGTATTGCCCAGACCAGATTATTCGCAGGTGTATTCCTGAAGCCGAACAGGAAAGTGTTTTAAAGTTTGCTCATCATTTTGCTTGCAGGGGACATTTTGGGCAGAAAGGACAGCATAGAAGATTTTGCAAAGTGGGTTATTTTGGCCTATACTTTTTCAAGATGCACATAATTGGTGCAAGGCTTGTGATAGGTGTCAAAGAGTCAGCAACCAGTCCAAAAGGAATGAGATGCCCCAGCAAAGTATTTTAATTGTTGAATTATTTGATGTTTGGGGTATTGATTTCATGGGACCATTTCCATCTTCCCATGGGAACCACTATATTTAGTTGCTGTGGAATATGTTTCTAAGTGGGTCGAGGCCATTGCAGCACCAACTAATCAAGGATCAATGGTCCTGAAGTTCCTCCAAGGGGTTATATTTCCGCGTTTTGGAATTCCACGCGTTATTCTTAGTGATGGGGGGAAGCATTTTATTAATAAACCGTTTGCTAATTTGTTGGCAAAATATGGGATTAATCATCCACATACATCTGGTCAAGTGGAAGTTTCAAACAGAGAATTAAAACGCATTTTGGAGAAAACAGTTGGTTCAACACGTAAAGATTGGAGTTCAAAATTAAATGATGCATTGTGGGCCTACAGGACAGCTTATAAGACTCCTATTGGAATGTCACCATTTCGACTCGTTTATGGGAAAGCATGTCATCTACCTATGGAGCTTGAGCATAAGGCTTACTGGGCAATTAAAGAGTTAAATTTTTCGTATGATTCAGCTGGGGAACAACGTAAATTACAGCTCAATGAGCTGGAGGAAATTCGTCAGGGTGCTTATGAAAGTTCTCGCATCTACAAGGAAAGAACTAAGGCATTTCATGATAGTCAAATTTTAAGGAAAGAATTTCAGCCAGGGCAAAAGGTGTTGCTATTCAGTTCACGGCGAAAGTTGTTTCCAGGGAAATTGAAATCTCGCTGGACTGGGCCATATCTGGTTACTAAAGTCTTTTCTCATGGGGCAGTTGAAATAACTAATGAAGCTCAAGGTGAATGGGCACAGGCTGAAACCATACGTGGAGTCACCCTTTGATACTGCATACGAGTCTTTGACTCTGAAGGAACCAGTGATCTAGCCACCGAACTTCCGCAACGTCTAGCTACAGACTTAAAATAAAGCGCTAATTGGGAGGCAACCCAACTTTTCTAAACTTTTTCCTAATTTTAATTTTCGTTTGATTTTCTCTTTAATATAAACAAACAAACAAAAAAAAAAGACGAAAATGCAAAAATACAAAAATGGAAAATTGCAAGTTGATTTTTTTTTTTTTTTTTTTTAACCCATATTCGTTAATTGTAGGTTGCAAACATGGAAAAATAAAACGCGTCCTATGCTGGAATCCTGCACCCAGCAGCAAGTCTAATGTTCACATCAACCACATCTACCCTATGCTGGAAATTTAAAGCAGTCAACATAAAGTCATTCACAGATGCAAGTTTGGGGGTGATTGTTGCAGATCCAGCACAGAAACAAAATTTAGAGCAGTTAATTTTCTGCAGCTCAATTTTGCGATGCATAGAGGAAGCACAATTAAATCACAGATCCATACACCACAGAACTGAGTACAGCTATTATTACCAGATCTATAACAACTACACTTGCAGGGATTCGAAGTTTACCTCCCGAATGCACCGATCTGGGTCATGCGGCCTGTGCTGTTTTCATCCGTTGAGCTTGTGTGTTTACTTCTGTTTCCTTGGCTCTATCATGGATCCGTATACCCCTACATAAAGAGCAAAAATATGAGTACATACAGGTTAAATATGGCATTATAATGAACTGTCGTTGAACATGTAAATGTTGAGTTTAGCAACTGCAGAAGAACGAGATCTTTACCTTCATGATTTGCAGCAACCGAGACATTTGCCGTTTATTTTGCCGTCTGGGACCATTAGACCGGCAACTTAAGCTTGTTTTCTCTCGGTTATACGCTGGATTTGAGTGTCATTTTTCAGTCCCAGTAGTGGTTATATTATTCAAATATCAGATCATCGTCAATCTATCAAAAGGGTTACGGGTTTTACCTCAAAATTTGCAGATCCGTGAGTTTGGGAATTTTTTTTTTCAGTTAGTCTCTTCAGTATCTTTCTAAATCTCGGGTACCTACTACAGAAGAACATCACTGTAAGCTGTTGGAAATGTGCCCTAAAACCAATCATATGATGATACTTTACGGACATTTCACAAGTTAAACTAATGTAGTTTAAATATAAAGGGCAAAGATTATTGTTTTAAGCCGTCTCATATAAATGTTATATGCTTAAACGATAAGTCCAAGGAATATGTGATCGGGAGAATGCAATCTAAAGAAGTTAGATTCATGAGACCATTCTTTCGTATACATATCCTAAATGTTCCTGATCATAGGATTGCCAATTGGGCATTGACAGTCCGTTAAGATCAGTACGTGCTGTGTCTTCTCTCAGGGAGAGTGACTAGTCTCGAGTCATTGGTGTGTGTGACATCAAGACAAGTACGTAGGTGCTCAATAGAGAATGAGTTCACTGAACACGATCAACGAAGAGTTCTCATATTCATGTCACATGAGAACTCATGGTTGGGATAATGCAAAGTAGTCCTTTGACCTGAGGCATCATAGTTGTCTTGTGGTTAAGTCCTTGATCTTTGATTATGTCAAAAGTCACTCCAAAAGGAGGGTGTCCACGGCATAGTTGGGGTTAAGCCACTTAGCCATGGAGGCAAGTGAATGCGCAACAAGGGATCTCTAACCTTCAAACTGTTTGAGGGAGAATACTCTATGATATGATTAAGAATCTCTGGCCAGAGTATGAATGAGATTTAGGAAGTCGTTCCAAATCACATTCAAGGTAATCATATAAGCACACGAATCACATTGGATAGTAGACATGAATAAACTATCAAACCAACCAATGTGGTCAAGAGTATTGTATTAGAGAAGACCGTATTGCATTTGTAATCCTAAACTGAATAGGTTCTCCACCTCTTCTGATTAGCTTGGGTAACCATGATATGCTGCTAGGTGTCACTCATGGTTTGTGGAAGCCCTAAACGTGTATAATCACTAAAGGGAGAATTGAAAGTAAGTTTCAATTCACAATCGATTTGAAATGGTTTTAATCGCCCACTGCCTCGCTAAAAGGAACCTAATGGATCGTACACTGTGTAAGGTAGAGATTGAAGAAACAACGGAGATGAGTAAGAATAATTAAATGGTTTAATTATTTATGGCAAGGATTAATTAATATGTTAATTAATCAAATGAATAAGTTCGTTAAAAGACCACGGGTTAGTTTTGGGCCTCAAGGCCCAATGAGCTTCGAACGTCAAGCCCATTGACTTAAGTTGTATGACAACTTAATGACAAATAATTCACAAAGGCCTTAAAAGCCCAATGAAACCCTATGGTCGGCCATTTAGTTAAAGGAGTGGGTTTTGGACTTATTTACAAGTTTGCCACTCCAATAAATTAAGGTATAAATATGACTTTATAGCCAAAATTCATTTAGGGTTTCTTTTAGGAAATTGGAGAGAACACAAAGCTCTCCTTTCTCTCTAAAGTGGCCGGCCCCCTTGGAGGGATTAGCTAGCAATCCTACTACTCCAAGGTCACTCATTTCTACCTAAATCTAACCTTGGTGTGGAGACTTAGAGGTTCTCTATTTTGAGAACTTGGAGAACCATTTCATCCATCCAAATCCATAGATCTAAGATGCAAGGAATGAAGGCCCTCTCTTTGGGTGATTAGCCTTTGCTTAGGCAAAGAGGAATCTACAAAGGTATAATTTCTCAACTCACTTTGATTTGAGTTGAGTCTTGGTTCACCAATCTACTAGGCTTTGAATTTCATGGTTAATGTTTTGTTTTTAAGGCAAAGAGGAATCTACAGGTATAATTTCTCAAATAAATGAATCCAAGAAATGAAAACAAAAGATTGGAGGATGATTTTACCTTTGGCTGTCAGTTTTTCCGATTTCTACCACTGATGGGCTATTCAACACTGCGGGGCAGTACGTTGTTCAGTTGCAGGAGGAGAAGATTCGAGAAATGAAAGGGTTGCGAGGGTTGAGAGAAATGAAAAAAACAAAAAACAAAAAACGAGAGAGGAGGAGGCTGAATTTCTAAGAGACAGAAAGATCTTGTGTTTCTGAGAGCAATGAAGAAGAGACAGAGAGGTCTTTTTCATTTTCACGAAAAATGGGGTCACAAGAGAGAGTGGGTTGAGGAAAATTGAAGGTTTGTATGCAGAGGGGTGCCAAACTGAGAAGGATTAAAAGCATTTTTAGATTTTCTAGAGAGAGAGAGATGGGCCAATGGATTGATCTTAACCCTTGATTTTGAATCCTATTGAGCTACCCTTCTTGATGCATGACACAGGTGCGCATCATCAGTTTTTTTTATGCTTCCCTAGGACACGGTTTGAAGAAAGAGGAGAGAGCCGTTTGGGCTCTGTGTTTGCTGACTGACAAAGACAGAAGACTGATGCCTGACGCCAATTTCAACACGGCATGCTAGCTGCATGCCTTTCAAAGAAGGGCATCCAATGTTTTAAAATGTTGGTGCACGCCTGCTGTACACATGGATTTGGTAATATCTCAATCAAGTGGGCGCCATAACTGAAATTTTTTTTTTAACAATTGCATGCCAGCTGCATACCTTTCAGAGCAGGGAATCCAATGTTTCAAATGTTGGTGCACATGTGCCTTGTACATGGAATTGGCGTGTGGGCCGGTTCTCAATGCATGGGCTTTGCGTGGCTTTTGTTCGGCCAACCATTTATCAAACAACAAGTTTCTACTTCCAGCCCAGGATTTGCTAAGTGGGTCTACTCAGCCACATGGGTTGTTTGTCAAGGCCCAACGTCGACATGCCATGCTGGTTTCCTATCAAAAGCCAGGTGTCTTTCTCACTTTTATTTTTGTTTTATTTTATATTTTCATTTTATTTTCTTCTTTTAGTTTTGTCGGTTCTTTTTAGTGATAGGTTTTTTTTTTTTTTGTGTTTTATTTTATTGTTCTCTTAGTTTTCTTTTATTTCCCACACCTTGAGGACAAAGTGTGCAATAAGTTTGGGGGTGGGAAATAACATTTTAGGTTTTTAATTTTTGTGTTAGGTTAAAATTTTCATTCTTCTTAAGTTAATATTCATATATTATTTTAAACGTTAGAACAAATGGACATGGTGAAGATTAATCCCACATTAGAGTTTTTGCTATTTATCGTTGCTTAGACACTAATTCATGAATTGATTTGAACTTTGCACATCACACCAACATGGTTTGTGGGGAGTGAGATTGAAACACTTGCTTTTAGTCTAAGTTTATTTTTAATTTTTGTAAAGTCAGTTATTATTGTGAATAAAGTAATAATTGTCTCACCCGAGGTTTTGCCTAGTAACCGGGCCAGTCCTGCCTAATCAGCAATGATTCTCGCGTCAAACGGTAGAGTTTTGGCATGGGGTAGGGTGGTTAGTTGGTTTCGTAGCCTTTTCAGCTCGGGTTAATAAGTCCATAGGGGTGTTCTACACCTAGTGCCCTAAAGCCCTAGTGGTTTGGGAGTCATTGACCGAAAGCTCGCTACATGGGTTGGATTGAAAGTTTAAGTGAACCGACATTGCACGACCACTACTGTTACTGAAAAAATAAAAAAAAATAAAAAAAATTTGAAAAGAAAAAGAAAAAGAAAAAGAAAAATAGTTATATTTAAAGTTAGTATGTGTGAAATAAAGAAGGACGAGAGGTAAGGGTTTTAGTCGAGTCTCCTTAACTATGTGGTTCACTGTACACCAAAGGGAGTTTGTGAATTCTTTTCTAATTGATTCTAAATGGCTTAGACTCTGTGGTGGGATTAGTTGGAACTTTTGAAAAGATGTTCTAGTTTTTAAAATTTGCTATGGATTGCAACTTGAAGGTGGAAGTTTTGTCTTGGTTGAGTTTTAGCTAGTTGTCTAGTTTGTTAAGTTTTTATTTTTGTTTGAGTCTTGTTTTGCTTGAAGACAAGCAAAAAGTTAAGTTTGGGGGTATTTGATGAGAAGATTTTATATTATATATTTTACCCTAATCTTAATATATTTTGGTTAATATATTGGAAAAATTTTGATACTTTGAATTGTATTTTCAATATAGGACTTTCGAATTCCTCTGGAGCAAAACAGGACCAAATGGACGAATTTTGGAGTAATTCCAGTTGGAGGACGTTCGTTAGTCACTTAGCGTAATCGTATCAAAATTTGGGATTTTTCCACCGAGCGGTTATTTTCTGGCGATAAAATAAAGAAGCAGTGTGCAGTGTTGGAAAATGACGTTTTTGGGCTTAAATTGCTTTTTTGGAGCCCAAGATGACCTCGGATGGGTTCGTGGCCTTCTGGAAAAGTGTTCAGAATATCCCAAACATTAAATCCAGCTATATTGGGCCAGTTTTGGAGCAGCTTATGGGTCAAAACGTGGCTGTTCAGATTTTAGACGAATTTTATCATTTAATTTAGGGTTATGTTTCCTAAGTTTTTGGGGGATTTGGATTAATTTTAGTTTCCTAGGGTTTGTGTGGAGGCTTAGCAGATATATTGCTTGGCCGTCTACCATTTTTCTTTACGCTTTCTTTTATGCAATTTTGGAGACAGAGAATTGTTAGGGTTTTGAAGACTTTTTACTTGAAGGTGCTTTCAATCATTTTCTTGAATATATTTTCTATGATTTCAATTATGAATATGCGGAACTAATTTCTTTTGCTAGGGCGAAACCTTGAGCCTTAGCATGAATATGTGATTTTTATTTAATTGCTTATGATTGATTGCATGCATACTTTGAATTGTTAATCACCGGGATAAAAACTATCTAATTGTCTTAATGCCTGATCACCATTAGGATCTTTAGAAAAGTAATTTGATGTAATTTTGGTCGGAAGGTTCCCTGAAATTGACTCTGGCTTCTTGTGATTAATAATTGTAATTTCACTTAGGATGAATATCATGTCTTAAGGATTGCATGGTTTTTCAAAGGATTTTCATAAAGCATAATGAGTCTTTCATGTTCAAATTTGATCCGAACGTCCGGACGGGTATATGTTAGATATACGTTCTATGTTGGAGGTTCCAAGTAGAATATGAATTAGGAAAATCTAACCTTCAAAGTGGCATGTGTAGATCATAAGTAATTGGTAAAAATTCATAGGATTGCTAGGTGATGGTGGAACCCAGTGCTTTCTTAATTTGATTCTCCCAACACTGTTTTCTTTTCTCTCTAGTTCCAATATTGCAGATTGTTTATTTTAAGTCATTAATTTCGTTTTATTTTAATTAGGTTATAAAATCAATCACCTCAATTTCTACTTTACAATAATTAAATGGAATCTGATTAGTTTCAAATTATTTAATAATCCCTGTGGAGACGACCTTGCGAGATCCGTTTATACTACAATAACCTTATGATTCTTGCAAGTAAAATAGGAGATTTAAGCCCGTTCACATGAGTAGTAAAAATCCTATCAACGGGTAACGAGTCGGGTCATATTAACGGATAATATTAATGGGTCAATTTCGAGTCGAGTCATATTACCTGTTTATTTTAACGGGTGTTACATGACACGACCTGTTAAGTTATTGGTTATGACACGAAAATGACACAAATGAGAGAAACACAACACGAATGCCAGGTTTACGAAATTGTACCTACAAAACAAATAAACACCTTTAATCAAACCACACACGCCCATGAGGAGATGGAGGCAGGCCCCAGGGTGGGTTGGCCAATGGATCTCCAATGCTTAAATCAGTTTCTCTTAAAAGAGAGAGCGAGTTTAGGGCTTAAGTGTGTAGCAAAAGCTTACCAAAAATTGGTATATATGTGGTATTTATGGAGTTAGGGCCACATGTGTAGGGTTTTGCACTGACATGTGTGGGCATCCGATTGGATAAGGTGAGTCATCTGTAGGATGGATGGGGAAAGAATAATCTCAAAGATATTATTTAGTAAACAATATCGGGGGATTATATTGGAAGTATCATTAATTAGATATGATTGTGATTCCTTGCCTGTTTGAGTTGATCTTCAATTAGGAGAGTATTAAAGATAGAACTTAGTAATTAATCCTATCTTTAATGCCTTTGACTTTTCTCCTTGACATGGGCAAGGGAGCTTGATGATGTTGTAATCAGCTGCTCATGCCTTCAAGGATCGTGGACTACACATGGAAAATCTTGTGGACTTCGTCAAATTAGTAACGGCAATCTTGTGTTCTTCGTGAAAAAAACCCACAAGTTAGTTTCAATGTTTTTCGAATTATTTTTTTATTCCACAAATGCCCCAACACCTACTGGGCTGCTCGCAGAAAAGGGCAAAAGGTGTGGAAATCCCAAGTTGAGTGGATAAGCCAAAAGTTGTTTCCTTATTGGCTTTAGATTCTGAGCTTTGACTTGAATTTACAGTCTTTTAGGAAAGAGAAACAAACTGCATCTAGTACTTATTTAAGTGTACCTTAAGTGGAGAATTAAATTAATTCAAAGAACAATTGTTCTCCCCATAAGAAAGAGAGAAAACAAGAGGAAATTGTAGCCCTCCCTTAGTCAAATTATGGGGAATACTAAAAAATAAACTGTTAACCTAGGTGAAATCAACATATCTAGAAGCTTCCAATGAGCTCATCAAATTATGAAACTCCAACTTCAAAACTTCTTTAAACTCAACATTTTCAATAATTAACCCAAATCACATATCAACATTTTTTGGAACCACACAAGAACTTTTATAGCAAACCTAACAAGTATCATCTAGACAACGATCAAACACGGGAGGAAGATCATGATTTAAGCAATAATCACCTAAAGAAATTTCAAGACATATTGGACCTAAACTATCCAAGCAAGGATCAAATATTGATGAAGATTTATATTTAGACCTTAAGTTATGGATAGCTGCGACATATTGATGTTGTTACCCTTGATATGGTGTCACCATTGGATCAAGCTAACACTCTGATACCAACCGATGCATGGCTCACCGTGGTGAAAAATAAATTGAAAATAAAACGAAAAGTATATGGTAGATAGATAGGGTCTGCTATTTCCTAGTGAAAAGAGAGACCTGAAACCTTTAGAATTTCGCTTCTAGTACTAGCCTACGACGTAGACAACTAAAAGAACAAAGCAACAAACTCTTAAACAAGAGCAAGACACTTAAAAATGAGTTTACAACTCAAATTTGAATATAATAATTCAAACAACTTCTCCTCTTTTTCTGCCTTACAAATATTTGTGTTTATAGGCTTACAATTTGAATTGACAAATATGAAAAGACAAATAAAAAGCTTACAATATAACTCCTAGAAGACTAAAAGATGCTAGAAAAATTATTTAGGTAGAAATCTCATTAGCCACAAATTTTCAGTTGGATACATTGTATTACATCTCAAAAAATGCAGGAATTTTATTATAAAATTTAAATCGCTTGATTCCATAGCAGCCATTAATTTCATATAACAATGATTTTAGTCCATGGCCTGCATCAAATATCCTTACATAAGGAAGCACATGTGCACTAGCCAACATAGATATACTAATATTTGCTAAGATCAACTGTTTTATTTATATGTTTTTTAAGTATAACAATATATTTTACACTAAGGAAATGAGAAGTTCGGTTAAGGCACACAATAGACAACCTACTTTGGTATCAAATTTGCCATCTATAAAATTCAAATCTAAAACCTTTCACTTACAAGTGAAGAGGAATACCATTAGACTCGTAGTACTAAGTTACACTTTATTTATATGTTTAAGTATACTATTTGATGCCTAAAGCCAACCAAGGCATCAAACCAACCAATTTGAACTCAAATATATTTAAAATTCCATTCACTAATTAAAAAAGACAAACCTAATTAAAATTTCACCATTTTGCCATACACACAAATTCACTTTGGATGATTTTAAACTGACTAATTGTAACGGTACTCTTCAGTTCTCTCGTTTCATGTTGCCGGGAGAATCGTAGCTGACCAGTTCCCGCTTCCTACTCCGCCTCTGCACTTGCATAGCCCTGAGAGAGCTTCATAGCTATGGCTGCCCTGCCTTCTCTCCAAAACCCCTATTTCCTATCCCTTAAACCTCCCCTGCAAAGCTCCACCTTCGTCTTCCCCGACCAAGCCCGCTCCTTTTCTTCGTTTTCTACTTTGTCTAGGCCTCAACGACGTCGTCTCAGGCTCACAAACAGACCCATTGCTGCCTCTCCTAAGGGAAATCTAAAATCATCTTTCGGTCAATACACTATTCGTTTTACTCGATTGCCCATCTTCTGTTTGATGAAATGCGCGAATGAGTTGTGCTTTGCTTTAGGAAAACTTGGGTCTTCTGAGAAAAACATGGAGTGATGTAACTAGCTTGAACAACTGGGTTGTTCGGGACTACTACTGTCTTGTGAAGTCCGTAAACGAACTCTGAGCATCAAATACAGAGTCTCTCTGATGACCAGGTTTGTTGGTTTTGGCTCTATTGTTTGTTTGTTGTATTGAATTTCTTTTGGCTGTTTGAAAAATGGGTTGCTTTTGTTTCTTGTAGCTTACTGCTAAAACTGCAGATTTCCGGAAAAGGCTGGGAAAGGGGGAGACACTTGCTGATATCCAAGCTGGATGCAATCTTCTCTGCTTACTAGAATATTTTCCAATGTTGTAATAGGATTCTAAACTTTTGGAGTAATTCTGTTTCTTCAATTATAATGTTTACAGAGGCTTTTGCCGTTGTTCGTGAACCTGCAAAAAGGAAGCTTGGTATGCACCATTTCGATGTGCAGGTTTCTGATTTCTTGCTCTCATTGTGTTCACAATTACATTTGCAGTTGTACATATGGTTTCTACATATGTAACTTATGTGTATCTTGTCAACTTAATGTTTCTTTTTCATGTTTATATGTGTTGTCAATGTTAATACCAGATTATTGGTGGGGCAGCGCTTCATGATAGGTCCATTGCAGAAATGAAAACGGGAGAGGGAAAAACGTTGGTGTCCACCTTAGCGGCATATCTTAATGCCCTGACAGGTGAAGGCATTCATGGTATGTTTTCTGTGTTGGATCTTATAAAAGATTTTTTTATTTGTATGCAAGTGTAGTACAATGGGTGGAATGCCCAATTGCTTGCACTGGTACCTTTTCTTTTCGTGTAGATTTCTCAAAATTTGATTTCTTAATTTGCTCTCTGTTGAAACAGTGGTAAACCGTAAATGATTACCTTGCACAACGAGATGCTGACTGGATGGGTCATGGTCATCGCTCTTTGGGACTTACTGTGGGTCTTGTTCAGGTAATTTCCTCTCTATGTTTTTTTTTTTTTCTTTTTTTTCTTTTTTTGCAATAGACTTGATTCCTAATTATGAGAGACATGGCAGCCTGCAACTGTTTAACTTGCTTACTTCACTTCAATTTATTTATGTATGTAATTCAATGTTTATTTTAATTCCTATGTGCAATGTAGAGGGGGATGACAGCTGAAGAGAGGAGATCCAACTATAGCTGTGACATACCGTACACTAATAACTCAGTAAGTCATTTCTACTGCTTGTGTGGTAGTATTTGCATTACTCTTTGTGCTAGTTGCCTAGAAACCTCTTGTTTTTCTTTCTAATGTTTGCTCGTCTGGTGTAGATGTTTACTGGTAAGTTCGTTCCCACCAAAACAAAAAAAGAAGAAAATTCTGTCTTTCTGATATTTCATTCATAGTGATTCCCTCAGGAACTTGGTTTTGACTATCTACAAGATAACCTTGCTGGAAACAGTGAACATCTTGTTATGAAATGGTACTCAAATAATTTAAGTTCATAAATACTTGTATTTTTAATCTATTTCTAATGTCAGCAGTTTTACTTTGCAAAAACAGGCCAAAGCCATTTCATTTTGCAATAGTTCATGAAGCTGACTCAGTTCTTATTGATGAAGGACGAAATCCATTGCTAATTAGTGGGGAGATAAATTTTTTGTAAGGTTTTTTTATTATTTTATTATTTTATTTTTATTTTTATATATACTTTTTATATTATAGTTTAAATGCTAATTTATTTTTCTTTTATCAGTAGCTTAATCTATTATGGTAATGTGTAATTTCATTTGTAAAAAGATCTCGTTGTTGTACATATTGATTACTAAATGTTGTCCTTCTATCTCAGGCTAGTAAAGATGCTGCATGATATCCTGTTGGTGCTAAAGTGGCTGATTTGCTTGTGCAAGGAATTGTGAGACTAGTCTCTTTCCTATTATTTTCAGATAAACTCTGGTGTAGCTATTCGTTTGTTTTTCCCCATGCATATGTATATATAGGAATAGGAGGGAGAAACTTCAGAAGGGGATCCTGCTCCATTGTTCATGGAGTGGGATACTCTATACGTCATCAATGTGTCATCTGTAATTCTGTGTTATTGATATCATGTCGATATGGTGTTGATATGTTAAGATTAACTTTTATGTTTCATAATCATTGACATTACAGCATTACAATGTTGAACTTAAAGATAACTCAGTTGAGTTGACTGAAGAAGGAATAGCTCTTGCTGAGATGGCCCTTGAAACCAATGACTTGTGGGATGAAAGTGATCCTTGGGCTAGGTATTGACCAAACTCAACCTTTCTTATACAAATTAAGCCCTCTGCTTCATCTTTACACATAATACACCATTTGAGTGATAGGCACATTATAGGCCTTCTTCGTTAAATATCACAAGTGCTTGACCTTCCATCAGCAATTAACCGAGCAAGTACTGAAGTTTAAAATGTGGCCAATAGGCATATAAAGCCGTATGCTTTTGTCTCAACATATATATATATATATATATATATATATGCATATATGTATTATGTGGAATATTATTTGGAAAAGATAAACTGTGTTATGCATCATAATTTTAGGTACCCTAAATGAATCAAGGAAAGACCAATTCAATATTTCTCTTTCCTCGATTGATAAGTGGATTGTACCCAAATGCCACTTGTATAAATTGTGAATTGTCTTGGATCTAGTCATTGTGTGTCTTATATTGACGAGGAATAGAATCATAGAAAGAAATGTGAATCATAAATCCATTGATGCTGCACTTTATAAACAAGTAGAAATTATCATAGATATGAGAAACTGAAAGTTCTTAAAATATTTGCAGCGGACTGGCAGAGTTGAGGAGAAGAGAAGGTGGTCTGAGGGGATTCATCAGGCTGTGGAGGCTAAAGAAGGCTTGAAGATTCAGGTACCTCCATGAAGTACCTGAAGTTTTATTTTCACCACACTTCATTACATGAAGTATTACCATCCTAGTTCAAAGTTGTAATATCAGTATACTTGTTAGGCTGATTCGGTTGTTGTGGCACAAATCACTTATCAATCTTTATTCAAGCTCTACCCAAAGCTGTCAGGAATGACTGGAACTGCAAAAACGGAAGTATGTGTGTTTACAAGCATTCCGATGTATTTTTCAAAGTAAATTTTTTGCTTAACTTGTATTCATAATTGCAGATCTCTTGTAAATTTTCCCTTTAATAATTTCAGGAGAAAGAGTTCTTGAAAATGTTTCAAGCGCCAGTCATTGAGGTGCCAACGAATCTGCAAAACATTCGTAATGATTTACCAATTCAAGCTTTGCAGGAGGATATTTAGTGCTCACCCTTAATTATATCTGGCATTTATAGATTCTATGCCTCCAAATTCCAATAAAGTCTATCATCAACTTGACATAAGGTTTCGGTTTGTACTATTTTAGACTGCTCAAGGGAAGTGGAAATATGTTCGTCAAGAAGTGGAATACATGTTCAGACAGGGGCGTCCTGTTTTAGTTGGAACTACCAGGTAAATCTAAGTTAATATATTTAGATTCTTGCACCTGGTTCTGTGATAATAGATTGGCTGCCACGCCATAACCTTCTTATAATCATAAATACCACGCAAGTTAAACTTTAGAAGTTTTGTACTTTGTGACCATGAGGAGTTTGCATTGTATCATCCCAGATGCAAAATCCTATATCTTTTATATCATCCCAGATGAGGAATCCTATATTTTTTATACCATCCCAGATGCAGAATCCTATGTCTGTTTCGACTTTTATTAATTTCCCAGCTGTATATGTTTTCTACTGATAGGTCATGGAGGGATGACAATAAAATATTAAAGATAGTTGAATCAGAAATGCATAAGATCTCGTGTTTCAGATGCTGCTGAAACTTTTTTCAGTCTCTATTTCAAACTCTGTCAACATGGTTATATGGGTGGAGGCATGTTGTTTCATGTGCTTCTGGAGAAATTCTAATGGTATTCGGACCAAGTAGCATATCGTTGATCAAAAATACTTGTTTATTGGATTAAACTAAATCAGGTTTACACTGAATAAGTTTATGCATATGTAGGAGATACTAGTATTTGCTCAACTTCACGTTTTGAGTAACTATGATATGTCATCTTAATATTGCAGTGTTGAGAATTCCGAGTACTTGTCTGATTTGCTTAAGGAACGAAATATCCCCCACAATATTCTAAATGCACGGCCTAAGGTTTATTGAAATTTGACTTGATTAGAGCTTGCATGTGGCAGCCTATCATATTTTTACTATAATACTCATTTGACAGTTTGGTTTTACATTGCCGTTGTGTTTATGTACTTTTCTCATCAGTATGCTGCAAGGGAGGCTGAAATTGTTGCCCAAGCAGGAAGAAAATATGCCATTACCATTTCTACCAATTGGCTGGCAGAGGCATTGACATAATTCTAGGAGGAAATCCAAAAGTAAGTGCCTTTGTCTTTTGTTAATTTTTTTCAAAATGAAGCTACCCAGTATTTCCAGGAATCTCTTAGACTTGTACTTCATGTATATGCATCTATCATCTTTATCTGGATTTGGTGTGGAGAAGTAGAAACTAAACAGCGGTTTAATTCCTTTTGTACTTGTAATGATTGAAGATGCTTGGAAAAGAGACCATAGAGGACAGTTTAATTTCGTTCTTGACACGAGAAGCTCCTAATATTGATGTTGACGGAGAGGCAATTTCACAAAAGGTAATTCATTTTTTTGTTGAACCACGCTTCATACCAATTTGAATCTATTTTAATTAATCATTTGTTGTAGGTATTGACCAAGATAAAGGTTGGTCCATCATCATTAGCTTTTCTTACACATATCCTAAATGTTCTTGACCATAAGGTTGCCAATTAGACATTCATGATCCGCTTAGATCAGTACTTGCTATGTCTTCTCTAGGGAAGAGTGACTGGTCTCGAATCATTGGTGTGATTCACATTAAGGCAAGTATATATGTAGGTGCTCAATAGAGAATGAGTCCACTGAACGTAATCAACGAGGAGTTCTCATACTCATGTCACATGAGAACTCATACTTAGGATAATGCAAAGTAATCCTTTGACCTGAGGCATTATAGTTGTCTTGTAGTTAGGCTGGCCTCCTATGATTAGTGGGCTAATTTCCCATTTTGTTTTAGTTGTTACACAATTTACACTCAATGGGCCTCATGGACCAAAACCACTTGGGACCCTGAAATCAGAAACTAACTTAAAGCCCATACGAACCTTTTGTATGAGTTAATTAATATATAAATTAATTCTCATTTACAATTAAACTATTTAATTGTCCTTACTCATCTTCGTTATATCCTTCAATCATTACCTTACACGGTGTGTGATCCATTAGGTTCCTTTTCACGAGGCAGTGGCCGATTAGAACTCGTACTAATCGATGAGTGACACCTAACAGTATTTCATGTCTACCTAAGTTATTCACAAGACGTTTGGAGAACCGATTTAGATTGGCATTAAAAATGCAATACGATCTTTTTTTTTTAATTCAATACTCATGATCACATCGTTTGGTTTGATAGTATATTCATGTCTACTATTCAATGTGATTCTCTTGCCAATATGATTACCTTGAATGTGATTTGGAACGTCTTCCTAAATCTCATTCATACTTTGGATAGAGATTCATAATCATATCACAGAGTATTCTCCCTCAACTGTTTGAAGGTTAGAGATCCCTTGTTGTGCATTCAACTGCCTCCATGGTTAAGTAGCTTAACCCAATTATGCCGTGGGTACCCCTCCAATTGAGTGCCCTTGGCACTGTCAAAGATCAAGGATCTAACTACAAGACAACTATGATGCTTAGGTCAAAGGATTACTTTGCATTATCCTAAGTATGAGTTCTCATGTGACATGAGTATGAGAACTCATCGTTGATTACGTTTAGTGGACTCATTCTCTATTGAGCACCTACATATATACTTGCCTTAATGTGAATCACACCAATGATTCGAGACCAGTCACTCTTCCCTAGAGAAGACATAGCAAGTACTAATCTAAGCGGATCATGAATGTCTAATTGGCAACCTTATAGTCAAGAACATTTAGGATATGTGTAAGAAAGAGAATGACCTCATGAATCTAACTTCTTTAGATCGTATTCTCCTAATTACATTTTCTTTAGACTTATCGTTTCAGCATGTAACATTTAATAAGAGGACTTTAAACAATAATCATTGCCCTTACATTAAACTAGTTTAGTTTAACATGTGAAATGTCTGTAAAGTTTCATCTTATGATTGAGTTTAGGGCACATTTCCAACAACGTTTGTCAAGTAATATTTTTTCGAATCAATGTTACCTAGGGGACTTCTAGCTTTGTCCCACACCTAAAAGCTTGTTCGAGCCAAAGACCAACCTTACATGTATGTTCACATGCACTTTCTACATCGCTTTTGATCCAAAGTTAGGTGCTATCCTGTCCCTAAGGTTGATGTTAGGACTTGAATGTGAGTGCCTACCGGTACTAGAATGAAAACCTACACCTAGCTTGTTGATGTAGCTACTTTTTGCATGACTTGTGTGTCTACATAGATTTATGAACATTGTCTTTATGTTGTGATATATGTTGTATACGCCTCCCATATCCTTTGATTTACTCTATGTGCTAGGTACTATATTGTATGCGTAGTAGTATTTTATTAAAAACTATACCTATTTTACAACGAGGAGTTACACCGTTTTCTAAAATGGTTTTACAAAACTCTATTTTTATTAGCCTACTCACCTTTATTTTTATGAGGTATATAGTATGCAAATTACTGATTGCTCAACATGGTCAGTAATTTAGACTGACAATAAATATCATTGACTATATGCAATGCAATGCATTACCTTGATTCACTGATAAATGCACTTACTATATATCACTTATCATAAGCACCATTGGAATTGCAGCCTTACAATGGTATTATTTGTTTTCAACAAAAACAGTAACTCAAGAAAAAATAAGTACTTATAATTGAAATAATATGTGCTATTTCAATTACAGCCATTTCTCTTATCATAATTCAATAGTAATATCGATAATTTAGTTATATATAAGTACTTATAATAAGAGCAATATCCTATAATTAGGTAAGGTAGTGATCTAACAATTAGGCGAGTATTTCTTGCCTAGATATTAATCTTGTTCAGTAAAACAAAATGCAATTATTTCTTGAGAAATTCATTTCTCTAGTGATATATACTCATTTGACATTAGTCATCATAATTTTTATAGCATGTTATGTAATCACATGTAGCAATGGACTGATTACAATCCATTGACTTGACTCTATGTTTGTCAGCATGGCATGGTCTAATATATTGACTTGCGGTTTCAATATTAGTGATTCAATACCTATGTGACAGGTACTATATTGTATGCATAGTAGTATTTTATTAAAAACCACCTAATTTACAACGAGGGGTTACACCGTTTTCGAAAGCAGTTTTACAAACTTTATTTTTATGGACCTGGCTTCTCTGCCCTCCCAATTCCCATACACTCCTATGTCCTCCTATTTTGTACAGTTACGGTTAAGCCACGTCAACATTTTATATTGATTTTTTTATAGAGATAATAAGACAAAAAACAATAGTGGTATAAAATATTGACGTGGTTTAACCGTGACCGCACAAATAAGAGGGGATGAGAGTGTATGGAAACTGGGAGGGCAGAGAAGCCATGTACTATTTTTATTAGCCCCTTCACCTTTGCTTTTCAGCTCTCCATGACCCAGAGACTGAGCTACTAGGGAGTCGAGGAAACTTTGGAATTTAGTTGACCGGGCTACGATCAAAGTAGGCTACTTTACTTTTTTGTATTATTAACCATCCTTTCCAGGGTGCGACGACTTTTACCTTACTGCACTATGCTCTAATATTATTGTTGTGTAATATGGATTTCAACCCCTTCACGTTGTGCACTCTTACTTTATTTAGTTCAAGTTCAAATTTATTTGCACTTTTCACATCAACTACACTTAATGGCTTCGTCACCTTTCATATGTCAGCTATCACATCTCGACTTGGGTGTACACATAGATATTTTAGGTCGGGGTGTGTCATAAGTTTAGCCTAAATACCTTTAATTTTGACAATTTGCCCATAGTAATACTTTTACTCCACTTACTTGAAGAATACTGTGAGATTTATAACATGTCAAGTTTGAGTTAACAATTAAATAGTAAGAAGTGTTACATTAATCTTGTACTCTAACCTTTTCACTTTAGACAGATGTGATGCCTATAAATTGACAAAAAAATGCAATTTTATTTATATTTGAAACTTGAATACAATTTGAATTTGTTGTATATTTCCACATGAAATAAGAGATTAGTCATCGTATTTAGAAAAGTTGTTTGGTCACTATTAATATTTTTCTCAAGGTTCCAAAAGAAGTTAGACGCTAGTCAGGCAGTAGATTGGGGCCTAACGCCTAGGCGGTTAGGCGGGCGCCTAGACAAACTAGGCAGGTGCCTAGGCGGATTAGGCGTACTAGGTGGATTTAAGTAAATATATCATATTTTGTGTAAATAAGTGTCTATTTATACTTAAATATATATAATTTCATCATACACTAAGAAATAGAATGACCTATATATTATGAAGTATTAAAATATAATGAAAACATGAAGAACAAGCATATAATGTGTGTTCATTTAAGTATTCAACAAGTGTCACAGCCCGTCCCGGAATTTTAATTCCGAGGACGTGAAAAGACCAAAATGCCCTTAAGCGGGACTAAGGGGCGAAAATTTAACAATTAGATTTATATTTGTATGTGTTAAATTGTGTTTGGACTTAGGTAGGGCCTCCTACCCTCAAAACATTCCCTAAAACCCGTAACCTTTCCTTCTCTCTCTTTTTCTTCTTTCATCTCAGAAAACTCTCTCACTCTCTCTCTTACTCTCGAACTCACGGCAACCACCAAGAACCACCACAATCTTGTACGAACGTTCCATTTAAGACCACCATCGTGATCCTGAGGACTTCACGAGCTCGGGGATACCAAACTCAGGTGAGTTTCACTTCGGAAAACCCTAGTTTCAGTGTCACCGTAATATTGCACTATTCACGAACTTCAAATTGGCTTTGTTATAGGCCAAACCAAGCTTACAGTGAGCTTAAGGAAGTCCCAAGGAAGCTCGGAGTGCTTCGTTGGAAGTTTTTGGACGTAAGAACACGGAGATCGACAAGTTCAAAGTTTGGCCGGAGCTTTCGAGGCTCTTTCCGGCGAATCCCCGGCGAGTTAGGAGTTGAGGTAGGTATCAATCTCTTCGTCTCGTCAAGTACTACAACTTTCCTTTTTGTTTCACTCAATTTCGTTGAGTATTGAAGAAGTTATACTCATTTGAAAAATACCCAGTTTCCGGCGACCTCCGAGGCTTTCGAGGCAGTTTCCGGCCAAACCACGGCGAACTAGGTGTTGTGAAAGGTACCATTCTCTTTGTCTCTTCAAGGGCTACAACTTTCGTTTTTGAATCACTTGATTTCGTTGAGAAATGACAAAGTTATGGCAATTTGAAAAACTGCCCAGAAAACGGCCGCCGGAAAAACCAGTCCGGCGACCCAAGGAAGAAGATGATGCGCGTGGGGGCGCGTGGGCCGTGCTTGTCTTGGCGCGTGGGGCGCGTGCTACAGTAAAAAATTATTTTAAAAATATGTCGACGTCCGTGACGTCGAGTAGATCACTGTGGTATATTCATATACCCAATTTGAGCAATATATGAGGAGTTATTAGCTAAGAGTGGGATTATGCGTTAAATAACGTCAATTTGGTTACTTCTCGTATAGGCGAGGATTATACGGACGTTGGGCATGGCTAAGGGAGGCTCAGGGACCTTCGACACGTCGATGTAATCTGTGAGTGGGCAGTTTTGTTTTCCGTATATATATATACTTGACGTTTCCCAGAAATTGAATTGAAATGAAAATATGTTTAAAATGAAATGCATATGAGTTATGTGGAAAAACGGGAAGTGAAATACCACCATGCATAGAATTGATATGAAAAGTATATAGAAATGTGAGTTGAAATGCCATGCATGAATTAATATATGATGCATATGTATGAATTGGTGCGGTGGACGCACAGGTAAGAATTGATTTATGATGCATATATATGAATTGGTGCGGTGGACGCACAGGTAAGAATTGATTTATGATGCATATGTATGAAATGGTGCGGTGGACGCACAGGTGAGTATTTATTTCTGTTATGATGATGTTGATGTATATTGAGCTCAAATCCTGCACCATAGTTTAGTGCTTTATAGTATTCACCGCATCGCACGCTCGTCTTGGATCCAAGTAGATGCTAGTCGTACAGTCCACGCGGAGTGGGTACGACAGGCCAGTCGCGAGAGTGTTAGTGAGATTCCGACTGGTGGGTGACCTTAGATTATGTGCACAGATGATTTATGAGAAGCACTAGAGCGTAACTTGTGTGCAGAAGGCCGTACAGGTCACGCGGAGTGACTCCGGCAGAGTGTGAGAGTGATAGATTTTGAGCTCTAGGTTCAACCGGGCTAATAGAGGGCCTCCGGTTGATTATCTTATTGCACCTGATATGATTTATGTTGATGCATTCATACCTTATTACTGTTGAGATGATGTGGCATGGCATAATTAATATGAGAAATGTTGAGATGATGTGGCATGGCATAATTATGATGAAAATGTTGAGTTAATGAATTGAAGTATTGAGAATATATATATGTATATTTATATTTTATATTTCTGGGAAAGTATACAGGTTTTACGGAGAGGGGTTACAACGTTTTGAGAAATGTTTGGATTTGGAAAAGAATTGTTTTACTGACCCACTCAATTTTGGTTTTGCGCCCCTCCAGGTTCAGGAATCATAAAGGTGTGGTGACTACGAGGAAATTGACGGTGTTCTGACAGATTGGACAAAATTAGGACTCACCTTCGGGTGTATCAACTTATAAATTGTATCTTAAAGCTTCCGTACTGTGCAAATGGTTACGTCACTCTCACGTGACGGCCAGCATGCCCTCCTTCGGGACGGGGTGTGTCAGTTGGTATCAGAGCATGGTTGCAATCTTGGACATCTTGAGAAGTTCTAGTGAATTCTGTCAGAACTACACCGCCTCGTAGTAAGCCACTTAGTTAGAGGAATTTAGTCTCCCTAATATAGCGGTTTAGGGGAAACTATTATTATGGTGATTCAGTCTATTATAAAAAGGGACATTTTAAGACGGGTTATGAGTCGAATTTGAATCACCTTATGGAATGATGAACCTGAGGGAGCGAAGTAACGGTTTAACCATTTGGAAAAGATGTTTCAGATTATGCAAGTTAAAGGAAATTTCCTTCTGACAAGGGGTCGAGACGACTACCTGGTTTTGGGTATGAATTTGTATCCTGGTGGAAACAGGAGTATGATTTGTTGTCACCGGAGGAACAGTCGATTGAGAATTGTTTAAGGACTTGTTTAAGGAAAAGTTTATCCCTCCGGCATTTATCGATGGTAGTAAGCAAGAGTTTGCAAATGTGAATCAAGGAAGTTGACGATAAATGAATATTATAGAAAGTTTTCAGACTTGCCTCGTTCCATCCAGATATTTGAGACAAGGTGTCTCGAGTAAAGGAAATGTACCTTGTGCAGCAGGTACAAAATTAACACTTTGAGAAATGTGAAATTAATGAATGTGTTTATGTGGATAGAGGGGACGCAGAATTGTGAATTGTCCCTAGAATCAGTTGTACTCAACAATTTTCCATGATATCATAGTGTCGATTCAGCAGAGTTATGGACTTAGTAGTTTGGTCGGATTGACCGTGAGTACAGAGAGATTTGATGAGTTATATGTTCAGCCGTACAGACCATGAGAAATGGATTCGACTGACACATGAGAAATTGGTGAGTTATAGGTTCGGCCGTACCGACCACGCGGAGTGGATCCGGCCGACGTATTATTGAGATAAGAGTTGAATCAGCCGTATTGATCATTCTAGTTGACTTCGGCTGATATATTTCTTATTATGTATGTTATATCTTTGAGAGTGGTTGCCTACTTATCGAGACAACGATGATTTATTAGTATTGCGGGCTGCAGACCGTAATATTAATACTCATTCGTGGATTCGTTAAGCAAGCAACCCGGTAGATTATTTTATGTTAGTATTGTACTTATTCAGAATGTTCAGTAATAATAAAGTATGTATTGGGTCAGTTAATTTTATTCCATTAGATTGATTGTTTATAGTTGTGACTAGATGGAATGTTACGAGAAACCAGTTACTTTCCATCGAGTTGATTAATTAGAGGTTACTTTGGTGGGGCATACAAAGTGAAATGAGTTCAGCCATTATTTATGCTGTGAAAGCAAAGATATTGTTTTGAAAGGCTGCCCAAACATACTTAGTTCATGTGGTGCTAAATGATGTTGTTTGGAGTAGTGTGAATAATGTCGAAAGGGTTAGACTTTTCTTGATGTCTTCCCTGAAAGTATACCTGGATTGCCTTCAGGCAGAGATATGAGATTCACTATTGATTTGTTGCCAGGTATAAATTTATGTTAAAGATTGGTTCATGATGAGTTAAGGGAATTGGAAATTCAGTTGAAAGAATTGGTTGATAAAAGTTTTATTCAACCTAGTACAACGCTTTGGGGGAGCCCCAGTTCGTTGGTGAGGAAGAAAATGGATTTTAAGACTGTTCATTGATTATAGACAATGGAGTCGGGTAACGATTAAGAACCGTTATCCATGGTGATGTACTGATGTTTATTTAACCAGCTCAGAAGTAATTGCGAAGATTCAAAGATTGAATTGAGATCTGGTTACTACCAATTGAATATTATAAGTGACGTTGATCATAAGATGGTTTTCTGGACTTGTTATGGTCCTTATGAAGTTTGGTGATGCTATGTGGATACTCATGCTGTTTTATGAGTTGATGGATGAAGTATTCCAATAATGCCTTGATAAATTGATATCATTCTTATTGAAGATATTCTGGCATATTCTGAGCCAGAGCAGAGCATGTAAACGTATTAAGTCGGTGAAGCAAAGATTGAGAGAACGTTGGTTGTATGCTAAGTAGCAAATGCTAAAGTTAGATGAATCAGGTGGCATTCTGAGATTTGTTATATATTCTTAAGGTATTTAAGTGAATCCTTAAAAGATAGCAGAAATTGAGAATTTGGAACAACCACGAGTCGTAATTGAGATTTGGAATTTCTTAACTTACCAGGCTATCTTGGATGGTTGTGAAAGAGTTTTAGTCATTGCTTTGTCATTGACGAGACTGTTGAGAAAGGAGGTTATGTATGAGTAGGAAGGAAATTGTGAGTAAAGGATTCAACAACTGAAGTATTTCCTCACTCATGCACGTATTTTAGTAATCCCAGAGAATAGTGGTAATCATAAATTTTTAGTGATGTTTCTTGAATGGTATTGGAGGCATGTTGATGCAAATGTTAGGGTGATTGCATACATTTCACGATAATGGAACCTCATGAGATGAATTACCCTACGGGTGACTTAGAAGTCATGATTACCATTCTTGCTGTGAAGTTATGAAGGCATTATATTTGGTAAGAATGCAAGATTTTACGAATCCAAAAGTCTTCAATATTCATTACTTGGAAAGATTTTGATATAAGGCAGCGAAAGTGAATTGTATTGTTAAATGAATATGATTGTACGATCAGGGTGATCGTGAATTGTTGTAGCTGATACACTTGGTGAAAAGATTGCAGTAAGATTAATGTCAGGCACGCTTGCCAAGATTATCTTCTCGTGGATTGAAAATCAATTAAAGTAAAGTTAAGAATGAAAGATCGAGAAGAAGTTATACTTGTTAATTTTCAAGTTAGGCCTGTTTGGTAAGGTCGTACTCGAAATATAAATGTTTGACGAGGAAATTTAAGAATTAACCAAGGCAGAGAAAGAAGGGAAAAAGAATGAGTACATGATTCGTGAATCAAATGGTATGTGGATACAAGAAAACAAAAAGTATGTGCCTAATGTTGAGGATTTGAAGCAAGCAAATATTGGACGAAGTTCACTGTTCAACTTCTGCAATATTCCAAA